TCTCTGAGTTCGTTGCATAAAGTACAAGCGAAAATCGGAGTGTCGAATGAATGTCTTCTATGACCGTTTGGTGCCATGACCTGTCCACTTCCTAACGAAACAGACTCGTCCCACGACAAAAATGTCGCCCGCATGCTTGAGAAAGGCCGAAGCGGCGAGCAGAGTTGCGCGCGTTTTGAGCAACGGGTACCGAGGGGAAAAATTGTGAACAAGAAAAAGGTAAGCCATATTGAAATGTAAGCTTCTAATAACTACCACGACCTTAACCGTTTATGGTAAAATTTTTACGTGTAACTGTCATGGTCGAAAACCGACTTCTGGGTGCTCGTTGATTCTTACAGTGTGTCAGTGCCGTTCTTCTGGTTGTGCTATACCGGATGAGACACATGAAGACTGGTAGCATACTGGCACGGCACCGTAAGGCCCTTAGGCGGTGGGCGACGATAGGCAAGTCCATCCGAAACGGCTTGCATCCGGAACAGTACAACCGGAAGAAAGAACCGCACTGACGGATCACCATAATATATATCGGGTATTTCTTGACACATGCCATCGGTAGGGTAGTTTGCCTTTGCCTACCGACAGGGCAAACCCGCCCCAAACGGCGCGGCACAACACAAAGCATCGACGGGTATTCGGTTACACGCTGTAAAGTTAAATTTAGTGGTGGGTCCCCTGCCCCCTTCTACCCCTACCTTAACTTTTACTCTCATCTGCATCGGACTCGCTGCAGGTTCACGGCGGCAAGGCGACCCCCCTCCCAGGCCCGGAAGATCCTCTGCGGCGCGGCGCGGCGGGGCGGGCGGGGCGGGGCGCGCGGCCGGCCCGGAGAGGGGGCGCTGGCCCGGCCGGCCGGAGGCGCCGGGACGCCCCTCGCCGCCCCCATGGGCGCCCCGCCCCTCTACACCACGCCCTGTCGGGCCCGGCGCAGCCCGGCGCGCGTCGCAGTGGAAGTGGAGGTATAAAGCCCCAGTTCCGGCGCCGAAGGACGTCAGTCTCTTGTTCTCTTCGCCCCGGTGGACACCCTTCAATTGGATTTGTTACACGCCCCGCCAGCATGAGAGTGTTCTTGGTGAGTGTAGTGCCGCGGACCGCCATGGATTTACGCCCAGCCACGTGCAATGGATACAAGTGATAGTGAACAGCGCGGGTAAGCAGTGAAGCGCAGTGGTGGGCCTGCCCGCCGCCGCCAAAACCCTTTGTCGCCATGCCGGCCGGCGCGCGGCCACCACGCGCCAACGCGCCAGCGGGAGCGGCGAAAGGGTCCCTCACTTCGGTCTTCTGTGCACATTAAATACATGTTTCAAAGTAAGGCAACGGCCACAGAAAGTTTCAAGATTACTAAAAATGTGAGTGAAGTTAAAAGGAAAGGTCTAAAACTTGATTATTTGAAATGGTTGAAACGTTATACCAAACGACTTGAAACATGATTCAAAACAACTGATAATTATTACAAGTGACTGTAAATGTGATGGAATAATGTCACCGAGTGCATAACAAGACTGAGGGATCCCTCAGGGATAGGGCTCCCGGCGGGGCGCGCCTCTTCGGGCCGCTGTGGGAACCGACTGCGGAGCGGAAGGAGACGGGACGGGCAGGTCAGGCCCTCGTGCAGTCGTGGCCAATCACTGCGCGTCTGTCGTAGCAGCGCGGTGGTTTGCGAACCGAGCATGCAAAGAGAAAAGGGGCGGGGGGTTAATAAATAATCATGCATTGAGAGTTTTATAGTCTGAGGAGGCGAAAAAGTGAGTGGCGACAGACGATAAAAATTAGTAGTTCGAACACATAACTTTCTTGTCCTGCTAATAATGTAATAGTCGCAGAATAAGTCCTATCTAAATGGTCACTAAAGATTTTATCTTTTTAAAGGGGTTGGATGTGACACTTAAACGATATATTATGTCAAACTTCCTCTAATGTTCAAGTAGTATTTATTTCTGCAACATCTAGTCCCCTGGGTGGTAATCTCTTTAAAGGGGACCTCGTATTCTTTCTCGATCCAACTTGTGACTTAATTTAGGGTTGCTCAGAGCCCGGAGGTGTCGCACGCAACATTAGAATTTCTGAAAGGTAAATAATTTTTAAACAGCCGAAGTCTACTGAAAAGGGAGAGTACACTGATAAACGAAGTGTTAAACTTGCAAGTTTACAACTTAACCGTTGTAAACTCCACGTGCAGAATGCACTTAAGCCATGCAAGTGAAAGTATGCGACAATAGGGAGTCGAACACTCAACACTTACAAGTGCACAACTATTGAGTAATTTCGCACTTTTAAGTGCACAACCTTTGTGTTAAACACTTGCAAGTGTTCAACCGGAAGTTGCACACTTTTCACTGTTGAATATTTCACACTTTTACTAATCAGCGCACGGGATGTAAGGAGACAGCGCCGCGACGGCACCAGCTCTGCCCCGCATGCATACGCGGCGGGGCGCAGATCAGGTGCGCGGCAGCCAGTCCCGCCCCTCCCCCCTTCCCCGCCTCGCCGAGTGCCGCCCAATAATGCCATTTATATTCATGCGTATGCACGCGGGGCCGACGCTTTCATTGGATGACTAGGCGGGCGGGCCGGCCGGCGGGCCCAGGTGCCGTACCGGCAGAGCGAGTCGCCAATCGGGATGTCTCTCTTCATCTGGGGGGAGAAAGTGATTCGCGAAATAGCTACAACTAGCTGTCACAGTCACACACACACACACATACACACACCATGCCGAATCCCAGTCAGTCTCTGTGACCTCGAGGTCACGGAGGCCCGGGCCAGCAGAGATGCGGTGGGCGGCCGAGCCGTCTTCACAGCCAGCCGTTTTCGAATGGGCAGTTATGTCAGGGATGCTAAACGACTTGTATCTCGTCTCGTATCGCTTGCAGTAACAGTAGGCCACCTGTAAGACGCAGGTTCTCAAGCCAACCACCACCTCTCCTCCGAAAGGCTGCGGTGAATTTGGGGTGTCCAGCAGCTTTGCGGCTTCATTCGCACTTTTGCGAGACACCTTGAGTTTTGGTATGCTATTCCTTCTGAGAGGTCCAGTCCCAACGAAGGTTTGGTGCCACTGGACATCCCTTGCCTGGGCCCCTCTGCAGAGGGAAAGGGTGCCCAAACTCAAGGTGTACTGCAAAACTGTGACTGGAGTCGCATAAACACAAACACCTGGGTGACGCAGCAGCTGGATACCCCAGATTTACAGTCGTGTGGCGCTAGACTTATTGAAGACGTAAATAAGCCAAGGGCCTAACACCCTAGTAAATGCTTAGCTGATCACCCTCAATGAGAGCGAGTCCCTCCATGGCCGGGCTGAGGGATTGCTTTCTACGGTGTGGGTGGGGGCCCGGCCGACCGGCGCGCGGCCCGCAGGGGGCGGGCGGGCGATAGCATCCACGGCGGGCGCGGGCGGGCGGGCGCATGTGAACACGTGTGGCTGAGTGAGCAGTGCACACCCCTCCTGTGAAAGAGAAAACCAGCCGGAGCCCCGGCCTTGCACCTTGCTCACGCCGGGCACGAGTGTAAGGCGTGTAAACAATCAGACGCGGAAGTGAAAAAAAGACGCCCCCTCCCTCCCCCCTTCCTATTCTTATTTTTTGGCACAAAATACAGGCGAAGTAGTTTCCGTTTTTAGACAGTCCCCTTAAGAGAGTGTCTCTACTAGCAGGCAAAGTCTACTTCCGCAGCTGCCTCCCACCTCCTTCTCGCTCTCTATAGCACAGAGAGGGTGGCCTGGCGTGTGTCAGTGGGTATGTATGAAGCACGGTGAAAAAAGTTTCTTGTATTTCAAGACCCGGTCTTAGATCTTACGGAGAACGCCAATATGGTATCCAAGACCAGGCCATGAAATACAAGAAAATATTTTTATCGTGTGTGGTGTTTACTGTTACAATCCCGGGACATAGTAAGTCGCAGGTCCTCGGCCCTGGTTGTGAACAGTCCAGCCAGGAGCGCCAACAGGTGTCATGTGTCTTCATTGTGGAGGAAGGGCCCAGGGCAGAGCGGGGACACGCCGCGCAAGTCGTGATTCCGCTGCCGCCTTCCTGCAAGGCATTGACCGCCCCGCCACGCTGGCGGAGGGATGGTGCGCGAGAGGGACGGCTGCTCACGAAGCCGAGCGGGGCACTAGAGTGGTAGTGCTGTGTGTCACTGTTTGTAGAGACGCGGCTGTAGACAACAGCTGTGTGTCACGGTAGTGGCGAGCGAATAGCGCTAGCAGTAGTCGTGCCGAGTGTCACTGTTTGCAAACACACTCTACATGTAGAGATGCTGCTGTAGACAATAGTAGTAGTGGTAGTGATGTGAGAAACTGTTGTGGCGAATGAAGGGCACACGTCACTATCCGCGAGCGAATGGTGGTTCCGTGAGTCACTGTTTGTTTGTAGAGAGTGTCGCTGTCCGAGCGTCCGAGTAGCTGGCATGCCGGGGGGAGGAGTGGGCGGTGGCGGGATGGGCACGCCCGGGCAAAACGGTTCATCGGAATATTGTTTAGATAACTTTGCGCGGCCCGGCGGGGGTAGAGCACGGCCCGGCCCGTCCCGCGGCCCGCGGCCCGCCCTCTCGAAGCAAATGACGCCATGTTTTCTCCGCACACCCCGGCCCCGGCGTGCATGGTGCAGTTCCGCGGGTCAGGTCCAGCAGGGCCCTGTCGTGACCGCTGCCCGGCCAGGGTCCCAATTGGGCCCCGCGCGCCGCACCGCTAACTCTCCCCGATGATAATCCACGGCCATGAGGAGGAGAAGGAGGAGGTGATCGTCGAGACGCGATTATTAGGGATGCACCCGGTGCAGCCGCCAGCGACACCGCCTGCTGCGACCCATCCTCTCTCTCTCTCTCTCTCTCTCTCTCTCTCTCTCTCTCTCTCTCTCTCTCTGCATAACGCGATTCCCAGCACCCTGATCATCGTGATTGATATAATTGTGCGCTCCTTTCCCACGCGTTGCGTTGTGTTGCGCGAGGCGGTGCAACACACACACACACACACACACACACACACACGCACCTGGGTCGGAAGTCGCCCGTCTCTCGTGTAGTGTGTGTAGGTGCGGGTTTGTGCGTGTGAAAATTTTTCACGGACATCCATTTTGGCAGCGGCGGATACGGAGAGAGTGTGGCGAGCCGCGGCCTCTCTCGCCCGCAGCCGCTGGACCCGCGCGGCCGCCTCAAACAGACGCCCCCATCATATGACGAAACAAACAGAAAATTGCCCCCCGCGCAACGTAACGTACGGCGCGACCGGTGAGGCGCGCGGCGCATCGTCGCGGTGGCAGCATCGCACAACAGTGTGTGTGTCTGGCTGTGTGAGCACGCGGGCGGCCCGCGTGTCTCCGTTACGAGGGCTCATGTCATCGAGCAGGGAGAGTGACCAGCCCGGCCCCGGTCAGGCAGGGCAAGAGGTCCCTAACGACGTCTAGCAGCTTTGTGGTGAGACCCCCCGACCTGTAAAGCCGCTGCACCCCCCCCCCCCGTCACTCGGACGGACGTCCACCTCCTGGAGGAGCGGCAGCTTCTTCCTACACGGGAGGAGGGCCTTCCTGCACCACCTTAACGATTCGTAGTAAAAAAACAAAACAAGATAAAAAACAAGTTGCAGCACAGCCACACAGAGAAAGCACAAAAAACAGAATAAAGTAACAGGCGGCCTGTGAAGTGACCAAAGATGAAATTTAAAATAAGTACCCCTGTTTTTGCGGCCGTAAACGACTGTGGCAGTTTGCACTCCTTGTCCCCGATCGCCCGCCGGAGGACATTTTCACCCTAACGTGATGATGACGACCCGGACCCCCGCGCCCGCGCTCACTCGGACCGGCTTGAGCCCGGCTAAAGCTCCTTACACACCCGCCCGCGCAAAGCTCCCGGCTGCTTTCTACGAAAATTTCCCTCCCCCCTGTGCTGTGCGAGCAGGCGGCGGCGTCCTTTACCGGGCGCAGGCAGCATCCCATAAAGCATGCCGGCCATCTCTGTGGGAGGGGGACCGGGACCGCGGCGGCAGGACCAGGACGCGTCCACCAGCGGCGTCCAGTACCGGTCGGACGGGCCGCACGCGCTGCCGCCGTAAACACCGTGCCATTATCACACAATTGATTGCGGGGCGGAGGAGGAGAGCGATGCGCTCGAGTCGAGGACCATTCTGCTGGGGACGCGGTGCAGTATGGGACCGATGTGGGTATTTCAGTGAATCCCCACGGGGGGTGGAAGTAGCAAGTAAAATGGATTCAAAAATTAGGAGAACCATAGCAGTTGAATGCGAGCGCGAGCCGTCGGGATATTGTCACTGAAATACCCTATTAGGCGGAGACCCTCCTCTCTCTTTCGGTCTGTCTCCATCTGTCTCTGATGCGACAACTGTTCCGCCTCGGTACAAAATTACGGCGTCGTCGCGGAGAAATTCGCCCCGAGCATCTCAAATGGGGTTTTGGAGTGGCGGTGGCAGGAGGGGGGAGGGGGGCGTGCGGCAGTGACCGAACGGCGTCGTCGTCGGGGTCCGCTCCCGGATCGCCACGAAAGCGGCCGAGCAGCTCGAGCCTGCTGCAGCCGGCGGCGGCGGCGCCCGAACTGCGGCGGAGCTATTGTCATGTCGCGCATGTTTACGATGACGGGGGTCGAACGCCAGCGACGCCGGAGCCGCCCAGACAAAGGGGCGGAAGCGCGACGAGCAGACAGACTTTACCGTCCCCACGGCGCGGCTGCAGCGGCGCTCATCCGAGCCGCACACAGACCGCAAACTACACGGATCGACGTGTTCCGCTCGTTCGCACAGCTGGCGGGACAGGACACGGGCATATATGCTGCTTCGACTCGCATTACTACTACTTGTAGGCGTGGTGGGCAGCGTCCCGACAACGCGGCAGCATGGCATGGAGCGAAGCGGCGCCGGGTATTCACTCGGTAAGCGTCGCGGCTACTTTCGTTATCGCGAACCTTCCGACACATCTCCGTTTCCGTGAAGCTATGGCCCATCGGAGGAAGCGATCACTCTCGATGATGGTTTGCCCTGGGCAGCTCCCCCCCCCCCCTCCTCCCGTGGCCGCCACGCGCCTGGCTCCGCGGCCCGGCTCGACCCCTGCCCATAACGGCGATGCACAGGAGCTAGGCAGAGCGACCGCGGGATTCAGGGAGCAGGTTGTTGTTCGGACCGGAAAAAGCACTTCCTCTCTCAGATCTATAATGATGAGGAGACCTGATGGGTACCCAGTGGGGACTATATAGTTGATGGTGACCTGGGGGCGCAGTTGTTTAGGGCACATCACACTCGGCGCGACAACCACTACAGGCTACTCGATAGTGTTGTGTGATTGGCGGGGAGCTGGTGGAGCGTGCAGGGCCAGTGACCCGACACAGAGAGGGGGGGGGGAGGCAAACGCATCCTCGCTTTCTATACGTCCACCCTCGCCCGCCCTCGCCTCACCGGAGAGGAAGCTGCGTTGTCCGGGAGAGCGGCGCGTTGTTGTTGCACGCTTGTCGCGTCCAGCTGGCAGTATAAGCATGAGTACGAATACACTCTCAAACATTTTTGTTGGCAAATTATACGAAAGCAGTACCTTTTTATTTCTTGCTCCACTAGAAACTGATTAGGTGAGTCGGGTTTCCTTTCTATTATGCAACAATGATGTGCGACTTTTTCAAGAATACATGTTCACGGCGGTAGTAAATTTTGTGACTGACTTGAGCCGCTTTATTTCGGCTGGGCCGACCACGTGCAGTGTCAACCAAACAACACGAGGCCCCCGCCAGCAGCCACTGCGCCAAGCCGAGCCCCGCGCCACGCCCGCCGTGCTGACATTTCAGAGGTCGTATTCCTCTCCGGCGAACACGAAAAGAAAGCTGCCGGGCCGGCTAAATGCATGACCCTTCGGCCCGGCGCAGGACATTATTGCACGCTGTGTGAAAATTCACGCCCCCCCTCTCCTCCCCGCGCGCCACTGATGCGCGGCGGCGGAGACGCTCCTCCTCTCCCCCCCCCCCTTTTCCCCGACGGGGTCACGTCCCTACCAAAAGTTATGAAAGTCCTCGGCGTGACCAATCCGCCCGACCTTCCTCCGACCATCATCGGCCTTCGTCCCCTTTCCCTCACTCATCCCATCTCTCCGTTATCTCTCGTAACGTAACAGTTTGTTAATGTCCAGTCAGATATGCGCGCCATTTTATACCCACGGTTATAGTATGCAGCTTTCATATTGTTCGCATCGCGCGGATGGTGTGCTCTAGAAGATCGCAGGGAAAGTACCTCTGTGAATTTGACAAAATGTTGTTTTGTAATTAAATAACAAACAATAAGTTGTAAAAATACGATCAGCTGTAGTAAATTTACTGTATTTCTCGCGTGGAGTAAACGTGGACCTCCCAAGAGCAGGACGGCCACGGTGGAGAGAGGTCATGGGATGAGAGGGTCGTGCACACACCGCCGGCGCAGGCCACGCCCGGCTCGGCAGCATAATAATGGCAAATCGGCGTGACAATTAGAAGAAAGGCGGAAGGAATTATTGTTATAAAACTGCGGCGAGCCACGCGCGGGGCAGGCGGCACAGCGCGCGGCGGAATCAACTCTTTTGCCCATTTTCACCGCTGCGGGGCGCGCCGTGCCGCTCGCGGGCTGGGGCGGCCCGGCGGCCCGGCCGGGGCGGCGGGGCGGGGCGCGGGTTCCGAGGAAATGGAATGGTTCGGTCGTGTGGTGCGCCGCGGCGCTGATTCAAATCCTCCCGCCAGGACTGGACATGACGGACCGTGACAGACACCGGTCGTGAGGCTATTAAGAGAAGACGCGTTCGGGCAGCGTTATGTAACGTTACGCGACGAAAGGGCGACTGTAATAATTAAGGGAAATGACGCCCGCGTCGTGAGGGACGGACCTGCATAGCCCTTTCCTGTGTCTCTGTTGGCTAAACTGGTCGAGTGACTGAACAACGGGAGGGCGAGGCGGCACAGGGCCCCTGGCGAGGTGGGCCGGCCCGACGCACAGGCGTGCGCAACAGGTCTGCCTACCCTCCAGGCGTTAGACGACAGCTCTCGGGAAAAACGCCTGGATCTACACACAAAAGACTTATGAACATTTTTATTTAAAGCTTACCGAGTTCTGCGCGTACGTGCTCTGCTTTCGCACTTTTTGACACGCCAGTATAAACAAATTTGTTCACACCGGCGTTTTTAAAAATGCGTAACCAGGGCACTTACACAGAACTCAGTGAATAAAAATGTTCATAAGCTTTTAGTGTGTACACAATTTAGCGGCTGTAGTTTCCACACGGGGATGTATTGTATTTCAGTGTAAGCATCGGTGTGCCCTTAGTCGTTTGGTTTTTTTGCCCCCTTCGTTTGCTACTTCTGCGCCCCGCCGCCGTCCCCGGAACAGAAGAAAGCCACCTCACCTCCGTTCCCAACGGCCAGGATAATTAGGAGGGCAAGCTGCTTCTTTCCTCTCTCGCGTTGCGTCGGCGAGTGGCATCATCTAGCAACTGCTGTGTGTGTGTGTGTGTGTTTGAGTTTGTGTGAGCGTGAGCGCAAGTGTCCACGCACTGTAAGCGCGCGCAGTGTTCACACCTCGCAGTCGCACGCATATCACCTTCGCCCATCATTATACTGTCCCCCCCTTCCCACGCCCAGTTCACCCTACCACCAAGTAGTAGGGCCCTTTGGCTTTGGGGCGCAGGGCAGGCTGCTTATCAGGGCACTCATAATGCTTAACAACTGTGCACGATGCTGGTAGGTTTTACGGGAAATTTTCCATGAGTATATGTTGTAAAGTTTGAAAATATCAAGCACTGCGTATGGCCTAGAAATTCATTGACGACGCAAAATTGGGCTTCCATCAATTTAAATCAAATTTTGTATAAAGAGTAAAATACAATGTCGGTATACCTCCTGAGACATTTTTACAGTAAAAGAACCGATACCAAATTACGGAGATTGAAAGGAAGTGTATACAATTAAAATACGACAAAGTTGTAAATTTTACCCTCTGCTCTTGTTGCAGGTTGTGGCGCTGGCCGCCCTGGCCTACGCCAGAGCGGAGGCGGGCTACAACTACCAGTCGCCGTCCAACAGCTTTGGCGGTGGTGGCGGAGGGGGAGGTTACTCCAGCAGCCGCGGTCCGTCTTCAAGCTACGGCGCGCCATCCTCGAGCTACAGCGCACCTAGTTCGAGCTACAGCGCACCCAGCTCTAGCTACAGCGCTCCGAGCTCAAGCTACGGCGCACCCAGCTCAAGTTACAGCGCGCCATCTTCAAGCTACGGTGCCCCTAGCAGTGGGGGTTTCTCTGGAAGCAGTGGGCCTTCCCCAAGCTACAGCTCCCCGAGCACTAGCTACAACCCACCTAGCTCTAGCTACGGCGCTCCTAGCTCAAGCTACAGCGCGCCATCTTCAAGCTACGGTGCGCCTAGTTCAAGCTACAGCGCACCGAGCTCGAGCTACAGTGCTCCATCTTCCAGCTACGGCGCCCCAAGTAGCGGTGGTTTCTCAGCCAGCAGCGGAGGCTACTCTGGTGGCAGCAGCGGCGGATACTCTGGCGGCAGCAGCGGCGGATACTCTGGCGGCAGCAGCGGCGGATATTCTAGCGGTGGCAGCGGAGGCTACTCCGGAGGCAGCAGCGGTGGATACTCTGGCGGCAGCAGCGGAGGCTACTCTGGCGGAAGCAGCGGCGGCTACTCTGGCGGCAGCAGTGGTGGCTACTCTGGTGGAAGCAGCGGCGGCGGCGGCTACTCCGGCGGCGGCTCCCACGGTGGTAGCGGCGGCTTCTCCGGGTCCTCGTCCTTTGGCGGCGGCAGCAGCTCCTTCAGTTCGGCCAGCTCCTCATCCTTCGGAGGGAGTAGCTCTTTCGGTGGCAGTGGGGGCTACGACTCGGTAAGTAGATACATTGCCTTACCCTGGTCATCGATGTAAGAACACCAAAATAACGTAGGCTTTGCATTTTTCAGGGCGCGCTCGTCCAGAAGCACATCTACGTCCACGTGCCCCCGCCAGAACCCGAGTACCAGCAGAACTCCCGGCCCCAGGGCCCCGTGGCACCCCGCAAGAAGCACTACAAGATCGTGTTCATCAAGGCGCCCACCGCACCCACACCCACCGCGCCGTCCTTCCAGCTGCCGCAGCAAGACGAGCAGAAGACTCTCATTTACGTGCTCGTCAAGCGGCCAGACGAGGCACCCCAGTTCTCTCTGCCAACCGCCGCACCCACCCCACCATCAAAGCCCGAGGTGTACTTCATCCGATACAAGACACAGAGGGAGCAGGGCGCTGCTGGCGGCTACGACAGTGGAGTCGGTGGCGGTCTTGGAGGTCTTGGCGGCGGCCTCGGCGGTGGCCTCGGCGGTGGCCTTGGCGGCGGTCTGGGAGGCGGTCACGGTGGAAGTGGCGGCATTGGCGGTGGCCACGGGGGTAGCGGCGGCGGCGGCGGTCCGTCAGGCCCCTCAAGCAGCTACGGCGTGCCTAGCGCGGGCGGGGGCCCATACTAGACGCAGTCCTCACGCCTCTCGGGGGCCCAGGGGGTGGGCCCCGCGAACACTAGTCCAGTCCCCTGGCCCCTCTCCTCAACGTGCCAAACAAAACCTCATGAGACTCCAAAGAGACGCGCGCCCCGCCGCGGCAACTAGTGAGCCGGGTCTATGTTATTTATTGTTGCACCCCTTATGGGGTATGTAATATAATTGTTTGTACATATGAAATTTTTTATGTTTTGTATAAAGAAAAGAAAAACCCGAATAAAATGTTACCTAACTATTGACTTTATATCAAACACTCCGGCACCTTTTCGAAAGAGCTTTCTGACCTCGAACCAGTACACTAATGCTTAGGAAAGCATTAAACCGTCTTAAAAAAGACACTTAAGTTTTAATGTCTTTGAAAGGGCACTACTAAAACCTTAACACCTCAACGGTGCGACTAATGTATAAGACATTGAGAAATCGATTCTAAAAATATCGGATTCAACGAGGGGCTAAACTAACAGGACACGGACGAGTACATTTGGTATCTACTAAGTTTGGGTGCCACAGCCGCATTTTACCACTGTTTAGATGTTCACTCATAACCCGTAGCAAGAATACTAACTGCAACAAAACACGGCACGGGACAGGTCAGCAAAACGGCATAACGTTGTTCTCATAGATTTCATTTGGACAAATTTCGGAATTGTCTGCGAAATCGATGTAAAAGTAATTGCTCTGAGTTTAGGGGCAACTGAGTCTTAAAATGGTTAATTGTTTTAAAAAAGAAAGGTCGCTCCGAGGATTAATTGGTTTAAACCGATCACTGGAATGCAAGAAAGAAGAGAACAGAGCAAAACTCATTCGGGTGCGAAACGAAACTAACCACATTCACTAATTGCGTCAAGCATGCTTCAAGAAGTACACGTACTGATTGGTAACAATAGAGATGTTAAGGTTGCATATTTAGAATAAGTTGGGGCACTGTCCAAACAGCTCAACACGTCTGTGGGCGCTGCGAAGCGAGGGGGGGGGGGAGGGTAGCAGGGCAAATGGGTTGCGGGATGGCAAGGGGCCGTCAATAGCACAGCAGGTAGGCTCGGGAACCTGCTCCCTCGAGGCTGGCTGCGGCGATCCTCCTACCTTTCACTCGCGTCTCTTCCGAGGCACAGGCAGCGCCCAGGGAGTAGGCAACCCAAATGGCGTCCGTGGGCGGGTGGACGCAGACGTCCTCCAGCG